GAAGCAATAGCAAATTAAGCACCAATAAAAGCAAAAGAGCAAAACAAAATACCAAAAAAGTAAAATATCAAAAAGGCTATAAATTTGGTAATTATCTTGGCATTTCTGAGGATAACCTTAAGTTTTCGAATAGGTAGGTTGCAAATTTCAAAAAATGAAATTCTTTAAGTCAATACAAATTTAGTAGAGAAGCTGCAAGTACATTTCTGAAGTTTTTGTCGAATGAAAGAATTAAGTTAAAATAACTTCTTTTACAATATGAGCCTAACAATATATATAATACTAATGAGACTGAATTGTTTTTTTGAATGCTACCACATCAAACATTAGTGAAACAAGCAGTTTCTAGAAAAAAAAGGATAAGAAAATTTAATTTTTTTACTATTTTGAATAAAACTAGAGATTAATAATATATTACTATATTACTATAGGATAAATCACGATTTACCATGCTGCTGGCTACAAATGCAACTAGCTCGTACAAACTTCAGCCCCTGGTTATTGGTAAATCACAAAAACTATGGTCTTTTAATAGTATAAGAATATTACAGCTCTTAGTTATATATAAAAATAATGAGCATATACAGATAAGATCAGATATCTGAGAAGATTAGTTAAAATTTCATAATAAAGGCTTTCATATTTAAGGCAAACAAGTCTTGTTAATTGTAAATAATGCTAAGTCCTATAGTATACTGAAATATCCAATCCTCATATTGATAATAATAAAGATCAAGAAACTGAAAATAATTAGTTAAATCTTGATAATAATAAAAGTGATGAGATTTCTAATCCTGAAAATAATAATAGTAATCGATCTGATTTTCAACCACATGAAGAATCACATAAAGAATCATATGAAGAACTATATGAAAGATTATACAGAAGACCACATGGGAGACTATATGAGAGACCACATAGAAGACTACGTGAGAGACCATGTAAGAGACCACAAACAATATCATATGGAATGTTCAGTAAAATATTGCAAAAAAAAAAGATACTGGTATCAAATCATTTAAATTTATAAACATTAAACTTCATTATCTTTCATCTAATACAACTGCATATCTCTAGCCTATAGATACTGGTATTATTCAATCGTTCAATCTAAGTATAAAAAGCTTTATTGCAGATATATTCTTAATTAATTTGAGTCTAATATTGATCTAAAAAGGTTAGCAAAATCTTATATCCTATTGTATAGATTGGTATACAGTAAGTTGAATTTGCTGTGAGTTGCGTGTAGAGATTGGGACTGTTTAAAATTTTTCTTAATTGTTTAATCGTTTAACTGTTTAACCGTTTAATTTGACTGATATTAAAATAATTTTGGTCTATAACCAATATAATTCTACCCAAAACTATAGAGCAATTTTTAAATAGTTAAATAGTTCCAATCCCTAGTTGTGTGACTATCTAAAATCTGATTTTAGATAATTACCAGTTTAATTTTAGTTTCATCTTTTTTTTTTGTTTTAATTTTAACCTTTTTTTATACTTATAGTAATAAGCTAAATATAAGACAAGCAGTCAATTTTATTTCAGAGTCATAGTATGATATAACTGATATAACTATTCAAAATTGCTAGTATAAAACAAGAATCTTTCCAAATACAAGTGAGATAGAAATAGAATTTGAATATCAAGAATCTGAAAATAATCTGGATAACAATAAGGTTGCAGAAATTATTACAGACTTGTTATTGAGTAATAATTCTGAAGTTTCTGAAATAGTTCAGACTATAGAAAGATATATTCAAACCGTTGATTAACCTGTTACAACAGAAGGATTGTTCAATGATAAAGAAATAATCACTATAGTATATTATCTGGTTTAATTTTTATTAGTTAAAGCATTAAGTGCTTTATCATATTCGGCCATAAGAAAAAATTTTTGTTCTAGACAACTTTGCTTTTTTCTAATAATTTTGTTAGGTCCAGGCTAAGAAAAATGATCAGCACAGGAAAGTGATGATAACAAAAAGCCTCCTCCTCTACTTATAACAACTAAAGAGATATATAGTACAATACAAATTGTTTTGTACTATGAAGAGCAAATGAATTCAGAATTTAGTCTTGATCTCGAAGAATTATAATTTTTGTGACAAATAAGTAATAATTATAGACATGTATTTGAAAAGTTCAAAAAGCAAATATCAATTACAAATTATTTTACTTCTGAATATTAATAAGTCTTGTATTTGAAAATAAATTTTGCAGTTAAAGCTAAAATTGGTTAATACTGAGAATAGACTTTATTTTGATATGAAAATTTAAAAATTTGTGAAATATATTTTTTTTTGTTTGATTAGCTTAGGATTTATGGTTAGAATTGTTAATAGATTTCAAATCTCAGTATTATTCATGACATATGCATGATCAGTATTTAAAATTAGCTCGCACAAGATATATATATGCAAGAATTTTTTGAGGATTTTTTAGGATTTTTTAAAAGAATTTTACTAACTATAACCGGTAGTAATCATTACCAGTATATAATTAGCCAATAATGGTAAACTAAAAAAAGATTTTATTTCATTTGCTTTAGGGTTAGAGTAAGGCCTAGAATTTTAGCAGGGTGTTAGATATATGCAAAATTTAGCAAGAAAATTTTTTTGTTAGAGCATTGAAGGTAGTTTTATAGGTGAATTCTTGAGATATTAACCTTTTTTAAAAAAATTTTTATTTTTGTTACACAAATTAATTTGCATATTACACCTGATTTTGCAAATTTATTGGCTAATTAAACATTGGTAATAATCACCACCGATTATAGTTAGTAAAATTCTTTTTAAAAATCTATTAAGTATGCAAGTAAAATTTTTAAAAAAATCGCACAAAATGTATTTGTACAAATACTTTTTTTTTGAATTTTAAACACTGCACATGACTAATCAATATATTAGCTTAGTTTGAATTTTTATAAAAATTAATGCTACAACAGGAAAATGAATCTAATACTAACTACTAAAATTTTTATTTATTATATGCTATTTATATTTAGTATTTATTAAGTCTTGCCAAAAACATGATATTTATTTCAGACTACCTTTCATTTTTTTAACCTCCTTGTGGTTTTACAATTAAGCAGTATTTATAGAATCGATATGTAAGTACTATTATAACTGTTATATACTGTCAAACTAGGCTTTTGTAATTTACTTTAACATGGATCAGTGATTCTTTTTTAAAATCTAGCATGTTGAGATTTATACCCGATTCAGTTAATTATATAGCAGAGACAGTGAATGTTACAAGAATTGTTATACAATTGATAACAAATTTTTTTGCTATTTTATAATACTTTTTTGAAAAGCTTATATGTTTTATCTTTTCTAAGAAATGTAAAAAATTCTTTAAGAAAATAGAAGCCATGCTTTGCTTTATTTCTTGAATTTCTATAAATCTCAAAATTTTGTAAATCAGTAATTTGATTGGTCGATCAATCATATTGTACTATTCGATTGGTCTAAACAAAATAAAATAGCATAAAATTTGAAAAGTATGATAAAGTATATTAGACCAACTCTCTCCAACAAAAAATATCAGGTATTTGAGCTAATCGATAATTGGTCTAATGTAGCATGATCAGAAAAATTTAAAGAAACAAATGTTTATTTTGCCAAAAATCGCTTATAATTAAAAAATTTTACAAGAAATCACCTTTAATATTCTAACAAAAAGCTTTTTCTTGGGCAATTTTACTACTATACTCTGCTAATACTTAACTCTAAAGTAAAGCTAACTCTAACATAAATATATTTTCAATCATTATATACTCAAGATTTTTGTTGGCTATGCTAGGAGGAATCTGTTTAGATCCAAGATGCTAATATAGTCTGCTCTTGTTAATAATGTACTGACCGGGCTAAAAAATTTTATCTATTATAAATCTATTATAATAATATATCTGCTATAATATTATATGCTAAAAGATTATTTTTGCTCTGATATTTGTAAAGATTTAAAAATTACGAGCAACTTAGTGCTAAACCAGAGCATGCTATCTCTTAAACTGTAATGCAGACAAATTTGCCTGCTAAAATTTTTTTTGTTGTTGTTTTTTATAATTACTTAAAATTTTATTATGCTTAGACCCCCTAT